AACAATCTGTAAAAGTTAACTCCAGTCCAATGAGAATAGCAAACCAACCTATGAGAAAATTTACATTCAAGTTTTAATTCTGCAGTTTCTGGTGTTACCTAACTGGACATGGTTACACCCTGCATATCTGTGCATTTTTACTGTTCAAATAGTGCTTAAATTCATCTCCTTGGACAGCAGAGGTCTGTACGTTCACTGGCAGGCTCTGAGGAATGGCACATCAAAACAGGCAGCAGTGCCTTCAGTTTCTATCTCATGCATCACATAACTTGCAAAAAGCCAAATCCTCTGCCCCTTCTTTTATACTTCAAGCTGTCATTAATCTGTTAACTGTGACAGTGTCACACCTTTAGTACACAGACTGTAAGAAACAAAAGTTCTGAGGGAGCTGAGAGATTAAGTGCAGCAGCCCTGATTTTGCCTGGTTTATCTGATGATAAAATTATAGATTACACTCATAATCTACGGGCAGCGTAAGAACAGTTGCTTTCAGCAGTGGTTGAGGAGGTAAGAGATGTATTTGGTACTTGCCAGTAAAATGTGATCAAAGGACAACTACTGGTCTCTTACCATTAAGGTTCCCCTGAGTGTTTTTAGCAGCACAGCTCTTCCTGGGGTGGTTTGTATTTTCTAGGAAGCCCAACTCCCGGTTTGGCACAGAAATACAATGATCAGATCTGTGGATTCTTGGCCTCTACTGGACACTGCTTTTGTCAACAGGGACCCGCCACATTGCAGAAATATTATCTGGCACCTGACCTACTAAAAGCTATCAGAAAACAAGAGGAGTTGCAGATGAGAAAAGCTGGACATCTGTCCCAGTAATAGGGATCAGGGCATGGCAGGGACCTTCCGTTTTGGAATTTGAGGATATCTGTACATTCCCTGTCAGCATGCCTGTATGTTACAGGAGATCCTTATGGCTCCTTGGAAGCCTGCATTGGCTTCCTCAGATTCAAGCTGGGTGTTTGACATAGTACCACAAAGGCCCTGGCCCTGTCAGAGAGGGTTCATCAGCAGAGGAGCTGGTTCTGAGCTAGCAGTTCACCTGCATGGTGTTAGGCTGAGGCATAGAAAAGCTTTTCACACAAAAGTTTCAGGTTGGGTGCTGCTATAGGGTCAACACACAAGTGAAAGGTACCACTCATGTGAGCACCATTTCTCCCACCACTGCTATGGGCCAGGTGGGACTGTGACAGCCCCTGACATTTCCATAACATTTTCCAAGAGCCTGCCTTTGTCTCCTTCTTTCATCCCTTTGTAAAGAAATGACTCTATGGCTCTGACCACATGACTTCATCCAGCTGTTTTTATGTTAGGAAAGAACTGGCTTTTCCCAGTGACACTGAGAATAAGTATAGATAAGAAAAAAGGAGTAATTTAATACTTTAATTGTACAGGAATAGTTTTGTCTCATGGTGCAGGAAGTAGAAGGCAGATGGTCTCTCTTCTATCAGCTATCCAGGAACTTAAAATTTGCAGCTTTGCAACATATAAGAAGCTTTGTTCCAGGAGCACCTCTCTGTGGAGAGGAGTTTAAAGCAGATAGAAAATCAGCTTTCTCATTTAAAGCAAAAGCACAGCAGACAGTGCTCTGCACCCCCAAGAGCACATTACTTATTTTTCTACTTTCCTCAGTGTGCAAAGAGATGAGTTTTCCTGAACAGTGTAATTCAGCCAGGTAATTAGGGGACTAATGAAGATATGAAATTTGGAATTAAGTGTTTTTGGAAGGAATCTTCATCATGAGAATCTAAGAAAAAAACCAAGCTAAATCTACAGTTTTATATCACCACAGCTTTTAGATGTCTTTAAGCAATGACTCAGTTCTACAAAGAACATGTAAATCCGGCCACCACTGCAAGTATTTATATGGTTGCAAAGCAGTTATTATTCAGGTTTAATAGAGCAGGGGTTTTTAAGGCACTATAAAATCCAAATCTGATTCTTGCTTTTCTCCTCAGACTTTTTTCTTTTCTGTCTGAAATGCTACTTGCTTGAAAAACAAACAAGATGTTTTTCCCTCTAGAAAGGGAAAAAAATGAAAATTATGATACAAAGAGCTCCTGAAAACTGTCTCCTCTGAAATCTGAACCATCCTAGTGGCTAGAAAACAGCCTTAGCATAAATTCTGGATTGAAATCCTGCAGAGCAAGCTTCACCTCTGTGGAAGTAAGAATTTTTTAATCCATATTTTGAACTCTCAGGTTCCCAGTGTTACAGACAAAAGGTGGGAAAGAGGTCAGTCTCTTCCTTCTCTTCTAGATTCTTCAGCTTGTTTTTCATATTAATTGCAGTATTTGACCTTTAATACATTCCTGAGCATTTTTAGCCTCTGTGGTTATTTCACTGCCCAGTGAAAACAGCCTTTTCCTCAGCAGACAGCGTGACAAGGAGAGTGACTGACTGTCAATGTGAGTGTGAACAGCTGAGGGAGAAAAGGAAGATGTGAAGAGTAGCAGTAGTTGCTGTGTGTGATTGCTGTTTTGTCGGGGCTCCCTGAGTTGCAGAGCCAGAATAAGAGCTCTAAGATCTTGAATTCTGTTACTGGTGAAGTGAAGCCAAGGTTAAATGATAACACTTGGAATTATAGCACTCTCAGGCTTTGGACTCAGTGTGAGTCCACCTGCAGGGACCTGGGACATGAGCCTTGAACAACACGCTCAGAAGAAGGGTTGCAGAAGAGCAAGATGTCAAGTAGAACTTACTTGATTTATCCCATGAAGCTGTAGCTCCCCTCAGCTCTGCTGGCCACTAGGGAGGACAGGACAACCAATTTTCTCTCTTCAGATGGTGAAGGAGATCTTCAGAGGGAAGGAGATCTCTTTCTGGGATGAGAATTATGATCATAGAATCATAGGATGGTTTGAGTTGGAAGGACCTTAAAAAACAGCTAGTTCCAGCCCCCCTGCCTGATGCCACTCACTAGACCAGGTTGCTCCAATAATTATTAACGAAGAAATCCTCAAAGAGATATTACTTGTGCTTCAATATATATCCCAAGATCTCATTGCCAGCTCATAGGTTTTGTAGCTCAGAGCTTCAGCATAGCTGGAAGATGAAAAGTAAACTTTATTTATAGAACTGAACTACCTTGTTGTTTTCCTTTCCTCACTGTGGTCCTCACATTAAAGTCTGGAGGCTGGCTCAGAGACAGTGCCCACAATGATGCTTGAATAAAGACAAGGCTCCATAGTGTGAGCTGTACAATATGGTTCTGCATGTCTGTGTTCTCTTAATGCTTGTGACAGGATAGCTGGAAGGCCCAGGATTTTGGATGAATAAATGCATTCAAATTTAGATCTTTGTGCTGGTACATTTCAGGTCTTCACATCCTGAATCTTCAGGACTTGGATGTAGCAGATGAAGTGCAGCCATCACCTTTAAGACCTTTACAAAGTTCATTCATGCAATTTAAGGCAGAATTTGTGCAACAGGATTGTGTAACTAGACAGGAAAAGAAAGCTATATGGGGAGAAACTTCAGATTCTCGTGCATCAACACTTAAATCTGTTCTCAATTTAATTACACTAAATCTTGTCTTGAGCCCTGAGAGAGCACTGATGCCACAGTCTGTCTAAGGATGGTTTGAGATCTCACAACATGAGCTGCCTGTTCTCTAACAAATATTTGGAATAACTCTTGTATATTTTGAATTAATCTTGTTAAAAGGCCTTTCATAGATAGTCACATTCCCATATGGCAAGAGGAAAATGTTCTAATAATGGTAAAAACAGCAAATCTGTGACCTCTGTAAAGAAGGCAGTTCTGAAGTATCCCCAGACCCAGATCTTCCTTGTCCTCCAAGTATTTTCTTGTACAAGATCCATTTTTCTGAGACAGAGGAGAAAAGCCACCAGAGAAAATTTTTTCCATCCACCCAGCTTTGCTTAGGCTGCTTCAGATGACGGTGCAGAAAAGGACGAAGACTAATGTTTTGGTCTGGAACCACCATTTGATGATCAGAACTTACTGAAGGCAGAAGGTTAAAACCTCTGCCTGTGAGGGAAACACGAGTAACTCAGTTCTTAGGGAGAGGGAATAGGAAATTAAAGGGAGAATGAAATGACAGATTAAAAGTGAGACTACTGACATAAGAGAATTCGTCTGACCAGCCTAACTGCCCTAATTTTGCATAAGCTTTTGTCAGCCAGGCTGTGAGGTGTTCAGGGCAGCCAGAGAAGCAGATATGGCAAAATCTAACTTCTGTGAAGGTGGATGTTTTCTTAAAGTGAATGTGTATACCAAAAAATTACACATTTATATGACTACTTCAGTTTAAAATTAAAGGCATATATTCTAAGTTGCATACTTTTAAATATGAGATATGAATCAATGTCTCAATTACAACATGTTCATGTTGCTATTCCCATGTATTTCACAGGTTCTAGAGAGGAGGAGACATCTGAGAAAAATAGATAGACACACACATTACCCTTAGCATACACAAGCCCTCAGTGAATAAATTGGTGTCTTTGTTAAATGGCTTCACACTTTGGAGAGTGAAAAAACACACATTTAGAAGTGTGTGAGCTGTAGGAGGGAAGTATGTGCCTCCAAAGAGGTAGAAGTTTTTCTCTCTGATATGTGCTAGATTAGCATACAAGAGATCTGGCTTTGCTTTGTTGCTGTGATCTAAACATTACTATGTCAGTGTCACCATACAGGGGTACCTAAGTTCTGTGCCTTTAACAGAACGGGATTTCCACACATCCTACATCCACCTTGCATGTTTGAAGCACAGTAACAAACACACAAAGTCCTTTTGAGGTGGGTTATATCAGAACTCCTGTGTGCAAAAAAGGCTTCAGGGGTCCTTTGCACTGGAAGCTAAGTTTGGCTCATCTGTCCTCAACCTCCCAGGACTATTCTGTGATACCTCCACCTCAAGGGATTCCACAGAAGCCTTGTATGTTAGCTTACTCAGAGACTAGTTCCCAGCTTTCAATTTCCTTTGTCAGTTCCTATTTCAGTAACCATCCTTTTTTCTTCCTTTCTAGACTTGCACAACCTGTGCAGCTTTGGCAGCAATGGCCCCAGAGAGGGACGCATTGAAGTGAAGGATTGAGGCCATGAGCAGTGCAGGAGTGCCCTCCTTCTGCAGCAGTTATGTTAAACCGAGCATGGCAGCTCTGTGGGAAGTGGTGCCGTTGGTCCAGCCCTTTCATCCATCTCCTCACCCTGACTGTGGTGACTTTTGCTGTGGTGGCACCTTTGATCTGCCACCGGCTCCTCCACTCTTACTTCTACCTGCGGCGCTGGCACCTGAACCCCATGAGCCAGGAGTTCCTGGAGCAGAACCAGCAGGAGGGCCAGGATGCCCTCCATTATTTTGAGAAGATGCAGATGCCAAATGCCTCTGAGGTGTCTGGCAGTGAAGCCTTCCAGCCCTTGCTGCTGATCACCATTATCACCGTGCAGAGGCAGAATGATTTCCACTACGTCTTGCAAGTGGCCTCCCACTTCCACCGCCTCCTCCAGAAATGTGGGGTGCGTTGCCAGAGCCACCGCATGCTCCTCTGTAATGTGGAGTCAGACCCCAGCATCCATCAGGATGTCAGGCTGCTGAGCAGCCTCTTTCCTATGGTCAGTCGTGACAGAACTGGAGAGAATCCTGACCCCAGCCTCAACCAGTTTGAGAAGGAGAAGCAGGACTATGTCTTCTGCCTTGAGCAGTCACTGTTGGTGTACAACCCAGAGTACATCCTCCTTGTGGAAGATGATGCCGTGCCAGAGAAGGAGATATTTTCTGTCTTGCAGCACCTCTTCTTGGCCCGGTTCTCCAAGCCCTACCTCAGAGACGCTCTCTACTTCAAGCTGTACCATCCTGAGAGGCTCCAGCACTACTTCAACCCTGAGCCCATGAGGATTCTGGAGTGGCTGGGTCTGGGCATGTTTCTGGGGCCGGTGCTGACCTTTGCATACTGCTGGGCCGCAG